TTTCGGCTGTTGTTATTGTGTTTGTTCGTTTTTTTACATGGGAGGATTTTCTCTTGAATTTCAGGAGTATTATTTTCTTTACTCTCTTTAAAATTTTTTTACTCAAATACTCATCTAAAGAAAAAAATCGCTCAACTCATAGAGTAACTATCCCTCCCCTTTACCATATCAAGGAGGGGAGTTGAGGGCGTTTATGTGAGGGAAATATTATTATTTATCGTTTAGAAAAGATTTTTCTGTTTTAATATTCTTCAACATTTTATAAAATTTTGAATTTTGAATTTTTATACCCTACACAACTATGTTGTCAGGGTATTATAGCTTTGTGCAGCCCCAAAAGTTTGTAACGCCGCGAAATATTGGTCCTTGATTCACCTTTCAGTATACCTACCGATCGTCATATCTCGACTAGATGAAACGATTTAGAAATGTGTGTCCGTCCGTCTGTCCATTATAATTTGTAAATACGATACAGGCTACAGTTATGGACCAATCTTCACGAAATTTTGCATGTAGGATGGGTTCTGGCCAAGATCGGTTAATATTTAGGGGATGAAATAGACCAAAAACTTTATTTTTGTCTGATTTTGTGGTCGCAATTATGGCCCAAACATCGCGAATTTTTACATGGAGAAGGGGATCGGGTCAATCTATAAGCATGCCTGTTTTGATAAAGATCGGTCAATATTTAGCGTGTCAAATGGACCCCTTACTTTTGGGTGAAAAATTGCTAAATTTGTATTATATGGCGTATATATTTACTCCTGAAGGACACGATGTTGATAGTATATCCATGAGGAGTAGATGTTCGGCTTTTAACTGTGGCCTATAGATCAGGGTTAGCCAACAATACATATGCAAACTGCTATGATTGTGTTGGACACACGCATAGATCCGTTGGGAGAGTAATTTTCGCTCTCTCGGTACAGATCGTCTATGTTAAAGCATTGCAGAGCATACGACATGTTCGATGTCGAGAATAATGTTGAGTTCGAACACAGAACTGTGATTGTATTGGTACTCTCCCAAAGCGCCCACGGGCGCCTGTTTGGTGAACAGTGCTATAGATCGACTCGAAAAAAACACATAAAAATAAGTCTTCGGTCCACTTCATCCAAATATTATTATTTGATTATCTCCGAAAATTATAGGCGTTGTCCTTGACCATACCTGGATTCTCATGGAAAATTTCTAAGCGATCAGCGCTATATTTCCGCCCTCTAGTGTTGTAATGTCTTACTAAATAATAAATGAATAGGTTTAAACGTAAATTTAAAGCCGAACATAAATTGTTAGTAATATTCTCTAGTCGGTCAGGGAAGTGCAAATATCGCGAAATATTGCCCAGACTCAGAATATAGAACCGCAGAAAGTTAGATTTTCGTGGTAGTTGTGCAGGGTATCATATGGTCGCCCCCGTCCGACTACACTGTTCCACTCACTAGTTGTCCCAATCGGACATATATTGGGAGTTTAGTGTATCATTCACAAAAAACCGGAGGAATCTATATATCGGAGCTATATCAAAATCTGAACCGATTTCAACAAAACTTCGCTGACATCAATCTGGACCTAATTCAGTACGCTGTGCAAAATGTTGTCCCAATCGGATTAATATTGGAAGTTTGGTGTATCATTTACATAAAATCGGACGAAACAATATATATGGGAGCTATATCGAAATCTGAACCCATTTTCAGGAAACTTAACACACATATTTCTAGGACCTAATTCATTACTCTGTGCAAAATTTTGTCCCAATCGGACAAATATTGGGAATTTGGTGTCTCATTCACAAAAAAAATGGGAGCTATACCTAAATCTGAACCGATTTTCTCAAAACTTCGCAGACATCAGTCTGGACCTAATTCAGTACGCTGTGCAAAATTTTGTCCCAATCTGAGTTTGGTGTACCATTCACAAAAAATCGGACGAAACTATATATGGGAGCTATATCTAAATCTGAACCGATTCCAACAAAACTTCGCATACATAAGAATGGACTGATTCAGTGCGCTGTGCAAAATGTTTTCCCAAACGAACCAATATTAGGAGTTTGGTGCATCATTCACAAAAAAAAAATCGGACAAACCTATATATGGGAGCTATATTTATGTATATCTGAACCGATTTTAACAAAACTTCGCAGACATCATTCTGGACCTTATTCAGTACTCTATGCCAAATTTTGCCTGGAAAGATATATACAAACATATGCCCCATTTACATTAATATCTGTACCAAATATATATGTGAGCTATGAAGGGTTAAAACTTGGCACACATGTTTGGATCCTAAAAAAAATTTTCTTTAAAATAATACGCCTTGTTCTGGTACCTTTAAAAAATATTCTAAATACGAGGTATATTAAATCTTAAAAATTTTCTATTTTCAAAAATCCACGCCAAATTGTTCTTGTCCAAATTTCAAATTTTAATAAATGTGATTACTTTGTTCACAAAAAAATGGACGGACGAACTTGGACATGGTCCTCAGAAAAAATATTCTCAAAAGGAATATCTCAATTCCTTCTGCCTGTTACAAACATATGTACAAATACATAATACCCTGTACCAAAGTGTGGTGAAGGGTATAAAAATCCACGCCTTGTTTGGATCCTTAAAAAAATATTCTTTAAAAAATCCACGCCTTGTTCTGGTCCTTAAAAAATATTCTTTAAAAAATCCACGCCTTGTTCTGGTCCTTAAAAAATATTCTTTAAAAAATCCACGCCTTGTTCTGGTCCTTAAAAAAATATTCTTTAAAAAATCCACGCCTTGTTCTGGTCCTTAAAAAATATTCTTTAAAAAATCCACGCCTTGTTCTGGTCCTTAAAAAATATTCTTTAAAAAATCCACGCCTTGTTCTGGTCCTTAAAAAATATTCTTTAAAAAATCCACGCATTGTTCTGGTCCTTAAAAAATATTCTTTAAAAAATCCACGCCTTGTTCTGGTCATTAAAAAATATTCCTTAAAAAATCCACGCCTTGTTCTGGTCCTTAAAAAAATATTCTTTAAAAAATCCACGCCTTGTTCTGGTCCTTAAAAAATATTCTTTAAAAAATCCACGCCTTGTTCTGGTCCTTAAAAAATGCACGCCTTGTTCTGGTCCTTAAAAAATATTCTATAAAAAATCCACGCCTTGTTCTGGTCCTTAAAAAATATTCTTTAAAAAATCCACGCCTTTGTAAGTGGAAAAAGTAATTCTTAAAAAGGCACTGCTATGGAAGACCATGAACAAAAAAATATATAATAATTTAAAAAAAAATCACTCCTATCCTGGCTTATAATTATAATTTTTTAAATCAAGCCTTATTGCTGGTATTTTTTTTTATTTATTTAATAACTCAATCCCGAAACACATACAACTCAACTACCATTGAACTACTTTACTCTTCCCTTGCTTCCCTCTTACTTCCCCTTATAGTGGTTATCTCATTGAGTTGAGAATACTGTTAGTTTTTAACTCTCTCTCTCTTCACATTACTCTGTTACAAGGTGTGAGTATTTGATAACGGCATGTTTGTGATTGTTGGTGATGTTGTTTGGCTGACAATGTCAACAACAACAACAAAAACATGGAAGAGAACAAAACTAATAATGATGACGAGATGATGACGATGATAATGATGGGAGAGTATAACTGATAATGAAGCTGAGTATGTTGTTGTTGTAGCAGCCCTATTGCTTTTACACAATGGGCTGTGGTTGACAGACGTTGGCCGAGAAATACTTGGGTCGTTTCGCATCTTCGTGCAAACGAGCTGAGTATGTAGTTGTTGTTGTTGGCCTACAAAAAACAACAAGGTATATAAATTGTATGCTGATTATGATAATTTTGCTATTCTTTACGAGCTAAGGTATTAATAACATACATGCATATATAAAGAAGAGAATTACGCACGCACACACACACGTATATAAAGCAGTAAAACGATGAAGCTGTGTAGAGTTAAACTCTTCAAAGTAAATAAATATTTAAGTGGCTCTATTTTATTTATTTCTATATAAATTATTTGAATATATTTTTTTAGCTGAATTAAAAAAACAACAACAACAACAAAAAAGAGAATAAGAAAATAAATCATCTATATACAAACCTGCAACAAAAAAAATAGTTTTTTTTTTCTTTTTTTCGTCTTGAAATTAAAACAATTTTTAGTTCAATAATATCCCCATCTTGTGCCCACCTGAAAGAAATTGAAAAAAAGAGGAGAAAAAAAATTAAATAAACGGCCCACAAAAGAAGAAGAAGAAAAAATAAACAACAACAAAAACATGAACAGGAAAGGTGTATAAATATCCAATAAAATTATATTTTCATCAGCGTTCTAAGAAAAAGAATTGATTTGAAGAAAAAAAATATGAATTAACCAAAAAGCAATATCCCTATGAAATAATTTCAAATTAAAAAAAAAAATATTTAACTTTATTTTACATTTTAAAGGATAAACAAAATTTGGCAAAAAACAAATTATTTTAAAGAAAAAAACAAAAATTAATTAAAAAATAAATACTACCAAAAATTTATTTAAATAATCAAAAATAAGAAAAAAAAATATTTAAGTGAAAAAAATATTTAATAAAAAAATTTGCATTTAGTTTTACAAAAAGAAGAAACATAACCCAAAAAAACTAACTCTAAAGAATTTATTTAACGAAAAAAATAAAAACAAAATCAAGTGTTAATAATTTCAAAATTTTACGTTAAAAAAATAATTTTGAAAAAAATCAACAACAACAATTTCACATTGTACCTACAACAAACAAACAACAGCAGCAAACCATTTCTTTTTGGTGATCTTATAAACAAAAAACTAATTTGAAAAAAAATATTTTTGTTTCTTTTGGTGATCTTATAAAAAAAAAAAACAAATTAAAAAAACAAGCATTTTTTTCAATTTTTTTTAAAACAAAAAAATTTCCAAATTTTTGTTCGAATTTCCTCATTTGTGAATTTTGAATTTGTGTGTGTAATCCAACGGCCATAGCATGCACGGACATCATCATCATCATCATCACAACCAGGGAGCGACGATTTTCCATCTAGACGAGATTTTATAAAATGCACGTTAAACCAACCACCACCCAACGCAGAGTAAGTGGACCTGGAGCATTTGGAACATTCAGCGACCAATGGTAAGTGCAGAACCTTTTTTTCTTCAGATTTTTAATTTTTCTGTTACATGTTTCTATCTGTTACCCTTCTCCTACCTCTCTCAATCACTTTGTCTATATCTCTTGTCTATGTATTTTTTGTTTGTTTGTGTGTGTTTTATGTTCTCCTGAGTTTTATTTTATCCTTCATGTGTCACAAACTAACATTATTATCTCACCTACACTAATATGGATTATTGTCTAAGTATATATAGAGAGATTATAGTTAATTTGTGTGTGTGTGTGTCTGTGTAAACTATTGACACAATTATCTGTGTAGTAGTTACAAAATGAACAAAAAAAAAAAAACAAAATACACAGGATAATAAGAGGAATAAGACAACAAAAAACGGAAATGGAATATGGTGTGGACTTAAAAAAAAATAAAAAATATTTTCTGTTTTTCAAAAAAAATATTTTTTAGAGTCCAGTCAAGGCGTGGATTTTTAAAAAAATATTTTTTAAAGTCCAGTCAAGGTGTGGATTTTTAAAAAAATATTTTTTAGAGTCCAGTCAAGGCGTGGATTTTAAAAAAAAAATATTTTTTAGAGTCCAGTCAAGGCGTGGATTTTTAAAAAAATATTTTTTAGAGTCCAGTCAAGGCGTGGATTTAAAAAAAAGGCGTGGATTTTAAAAATCCTGATAGACCCATGGTTTTTAGAGTCCAGTCAAGGCGTGGATTTTTAAAAAATATTTTTTAGAGTCCAGTCAAGGCGTGGATTTTTAAACAATATATTTTTCAGAGTCCAGTCAAGGCGTGGATTTTTAAAAAAATATTTTTTAGAGTCCAGTCAAGGCGTGGATTAAAAAAAAAATATTTTTTAGAGTCCAGTCAAGGCGTGAATTTAAAAAAATATATTTTTTAGAGTCCAGTCAAGGCGTGGATTTAAAAAAAAATATTTTTCAGAGTCAAGGCGTGGATTTAAAAAAAAATATTTTTCAGAGTCAAGGCGTGGATTTTTAAAAAAATATTTTTTAGAGTCCAGTCAAGGCGTGGATTTTTAAAAAAAAATATTTTTTAGAGCCCAGTCAAAGCGTGGATTTTTAAAAAAATATTTTTTAGAGTCCAGTCAAAGCGTGGATTTTTAAAAAAATATTTTTTAGAGTCCAGCCAAGGCGTGGATTTTTAAAAAAATATTTTTTAGAGTCCAGTCAAGGCGTGGATTTTTAAAAAAATATTTTTTAGAGTCCAGTCAAGGCGTGGACTTTTAAAAAAGATTTTTAGGGTTCAGTCAAGTCGTGAATTTAAAAAAAATATTTTATAGGGTCCAGTCAAGTCGTGAATTTAAAAAAATATTTTATTTTGTAGGGTCTATGCAAGGGTTGGATTTTTCAAAGAATAATTTTTGTGGTCTAAGCAAGGCGTGGATTTTTCAAAGAATATTTTTTAGGGTCCAAGCAAGGCGAATATTTTTATAAATTGTGTATGGCCTTCCATGGGCGTAGTTTTTTAAAGAATACTTTTACAGGGCCTCCTAAAGGCTTTGTGATACCCTTCACCACACTGTGGTACAGGGTATTATGTCTTTGTGTATATGTTCGTAACAGACAAATTTAATCGAGATAGACCCATGGTCCCTTTTGAGAATATGCATAGAATCACTTTCTGAGTCGATTTATGAATGTCCGTCCGTCCGTCTGTTGATGTTAAATTGTAAACAAAGTACAGGTCGCATTTATGATCCGAATTGGATGAAATTTGTCACAGCTCATTTGTTTGGCCCAAGGACGAACCCTATTGAAATTGGGAAAAATCGGTACAGATGTTAGCTCCCATATATAGTATCGTCCGATGTTATGTGAATGATGCACAAAAATCCCAATATTTGTCCGATTGGCACAAAATTCTGCACGAAAGTACTGAATTATGTCTAGACTGATATCTGCGAAGTTTTATTAAAATCGGTTCAGATTTAGATATAGCTCCCATATATATTTTCGTCCGATTTAGGGTAAATTGGGCGGCAAAGTCCCTAAATATCTTTCGATTTGCACGAAATTTGGCATTACGTACTGAATTTAGCCTAGAATGATGTCTGCCAAGTTTGGTGAAAATCAGTTCCGATTTATATATAGCTCCCATTTATATTTTCGTCCGATTTAATGTAGATGGTGCACCAAAGTCCCTATATATCTTTCGATTTGCACGAAATTTGGCACAGCGTAATGAATTAGGTCTAGAATGATGCGTGTTAAGTTTCCTGAAAATTGGTCCAGATTTAGATATAGCTCCCATATATATTTTCGTCCGATTTAAGGTAAATGATGCTCCAAAGTCCCTTAAAATCTTTCGAAATTTGGCACAGCGTAATGAGTTAGGTCTAGAATGATGTGTGTTAAGTTTCCTGAAAATCGTTTCAGATTTAGATATAGCTCCCATATATATTTTCGTCCGATTTAAGGTAAATGGGGCACCAAAGTCCCTATATATCTCTCGATTTGCACGAAATTTAGCATAGCGTACTAAATTGAGTGTATAATGATGAGCTTTAAGTTTCGTGAAAATCGGTCCAGATTTAGATATAGCTCCCATATATAGTTTCGTCCGATTTAATGTAAATGGCGCACCAAAGTCCCTATATATCTTTCGATTTCCACGAAATTTGTCATATCACACTGAATTAAGTACATAGTGATGTGTGTTTAGTTTCGTGAAAATCGGTTCAAATTTACATATAGCTCCCATATATATTTTCGTCCGATTTAAGGTAAATGGTGCACCAAAACCCCTAAATATATTTCGATTTGCACGAATTTTGGCTTAACCTACTAAATTGAACCTAGAGTGATGTCTGCCAAGTTTCGTGAAAATCGGCCCAGATTTAGATATAGCTCCCATATATATTTTCGTCCGATTTAATGTAAATGGACCGCTAAAGTTCCTAAATATCTTTCGATTTGCACGAAATTTAGCACAGCGTAATGAATTAGGTCTAGAATGATGTGTGTTAAGTTTCGTGAAAATTGGTCCAGATTTAGATATAGCTCCCATATATATTTTCGTCCGATTTAAGGTAAATGGTCCACCAAAGTCCCTATATATCTTTCGATTTGCACGAAATTTAGCATAACGTACTGAATTTAGCCTAGAATGATATCTGCCAAGTTTCGTGAAAATCGGTTCAGATTTAGATATAGCTCCCATATATATTTTCACCCGATTTAAGGTAAATGGTGCACCGAAACCCCTAAATATGTTTCGATTTGCACGAATTTTGGCATAGCGTACTAAATTGTGTGTATAATGATGAGTGCTAATTTTTCTGAAAATCGGTTCAGATTTAGATATAGCTCCCGCATATATTTTCGTCCGATTTAATGTAAATGGTCCGCCAAAGTTCCTATATATGTTTCGATTTGCACGAAATTTGACATAGCGTACTAAATTGAATTTATAATGATGTATACTAAGTTTCGTAATAACCGGTTCAGATTTAGATATAGCTCCCATATATATTTTCCTCCGATTTAAGGTAAATGGTGCACCATTCGTTCAACTGCATGTCAGTGTTCTTCCGAAAAGTCTTTTAGGTGACTTTGTAGAATATACCCAAAGTGGTGAAGGGTATCATATAGTCGGCCCAGTCCGATTTTACTACTTTCCTTACTGGTTTAAAGAATATTTTTTTTCAGGGTCTTCTAAAGACTTTGTATTTTTTTAACAGCATGTTTTTGTAAAATTCCAAACGAACGAATTCGAGTGACTTACGACCAAACCATTATTTATGTTTATAGATGTTTTCTGATTCAAAACAAAAATAAATGACATATTTTTCAAAACCAAGGAGTTTGGTCGTAAGACACTCGAATTCGTTCGTTTGGAATTTTACAAAAACAGGCTGTAAATAATATTTTTCCTCCATATTCCGTAGGGTGCGTATGATGTATGAATGGCTATTCGATTGCCATGTAAATCATACGCCACATTAAACAGTAATGCCAAACACCAATCCTTCACTGCAATTTAAAATGTTTTCTTCAAAAAAAAAAAAAAAAAAAAAAAAAGTAAATAAATAAAAAAAAAATATTACATTGATCCAATGGGAGTTATTGGAAAATATATAAAAAATACAATAATAAAAAAATCACACACACACACAATGAGCAATGGCCTTTCCCTTCCCTTAAGGCTAATTATACTCCTGGGAAATGGTGGAGCGAGCGAGATATTTAAAGTGATGAAATAACAATCGTAACAGCAACAATAACCACAATTACAACAACAACAATTTTGGAAACATGCAAACAGTTAACCTTTGTTGCTGGAATCGCGCCATTGGTGGTTTTTGTTTTCTGTCAATGCCACGCGCACACACACACCAGCACACACATCCAAATGACCATAAACATTTCCGTTTTACAATTGCGTTTCACTTATCGTCCTGTGTAATCTCTGGCAAATGTAATAACAAAAAAAAGCAACAATAATCACAAAAATAAATTAATGAACCATAGAATGAATGAAAACGAAATACACAAAACAAAACCATTTACCATTTTTATGTCTTCTCAATATTCGGATTATTTTATAGTCATCGGTTTTATTGTTGGTTATCGATAACACTGGGCAACAAAAAAATAAAAACATTTTTTTATGATCCACCTAGGATTTGGTTTTGTGACAGAATAATTTTTCAGGGTCCAGCCAAAGCGTGGATTTTTAAAAGAATATTTTTGAGGGTCTAGCCAAGGCGTGGATTTTTTAAAGAATATTTTTCAGGGTCTAGCCAAGGCGTAGATTTTTTAAAGAATATTTTTCAGGGTCCTTTAGAGGCGTGGATTTTTTAAAGAATATTTTTTAGGGACCTTCAGAGGCGTGGATTTTTTAAAGAATATTTTTCAGGGTCCTTTAGAGGCGTGGATTTTTTAAAGAATATTTTTCAGGGTCTAGCCAAGGCGTAGATTTTTTAAATAATATTTTTCAGGGTCCTTTAGAGGCGTGGATTTTTTAAAGAATATTTTTTCAGGGTCCTCCTAAGGCG